TATAAATCAATAAATAAATAGTCTGGCAAGTCAATAAATAAATGAATAAATAGATAATGCAGCAAGACAATATATAAATAGATCAAGAAGCCATTAAATGCATAAATGTACAGGCATGATAAATAAACAGTCTAACAGAGAAGAGACATGGCTTATCAGTATATTTCCCAGCATATTGAAAGTCTTCTACTACTCTAGGATAAAATAAATGAATACTTTCATATATACATATAAGTAGACAAGTAAGTCAATCAATAAATAAATAATACAGCAAGACAATAAATGCATACAAATAAAAAATATAGCCAATTAAAAAATATATAGGCAATCAAGCACGCCAATAGCACGTCAATACCTAGCTAGAGAGATGATAGATAGATAGATAGATAGATAGATAGATAGATAGATAGATAGATAGATAAGTGGCCTAGTAAGCCCATAAATAAGTAGATCACAGCCGGGCAACCGTGGCGCATGCCTTTAATCCCAGCACTCAGGAGGCAGAGCCAGGCGGATCTCTATGAGTTCGAGGCCAGGAAAGGCGCAAAGCTACACAGAGAAACCCTGTCTTGAAAAAACGAAAAAAAAAATAAGTAGATCATGCAGCAAGGCAATATATAAATGCATAGGTCAAGAAGCCATTAAATAAAATAAATAAATAATTATATAGATTTATAAACAGTCTAACACAGAAGAGGAATGGCTTATCAGTATAGGATTTATCAGCATACAGAAGGTCTTTTACTAATCTAGGATAAAATAAATGAATACTTCCATAACACATAAATATATAAATAAACAAGCAAGTCAATAAATAAATAAATAACCCAGTAAGCAATATATATATGCATAAAAAAGGCTAATCACTAACCAATCTTTAAGCACACTAAATAAAGAATGAAATAAATATTGCTGGAATGAAACCATTAAGTAAATATATAGTCGATAGATAGATAAACATTCTAACCATAGATGCATGGCTTCTAAGTATAGTATTTCTCTGTATTTTGAAGGCCTTTAAAGTAGAATGAATAAAGAAGCCAGCATGCAAATAAATAAAATCAAGAATTGAATACACAGGTAGATGGACGGACGGACGGACGGACGGACGGACGGACGGATGGATGGAGACAGATAAACAGTGTAGATACGTAAATTATCAGAGTAGTATTTTATCAGCATAGTGAAGGCCTTTTATTACTCTAAGGTAAAACAAACAAATAAATAAACAAATAAAAATAAATAAATAAATAAGCAAGCAGGCCAATAAATAAATAAATTGATCAAGAAAACAATAAATAAATAATCCAACAAGTCAATAAATAAATAGACCAAGAAGCCAAAACATAAGTAGATAGACGATACATAGATAGATAGATAGATAGATAGATAGATAGATAGATAGATAGATAGATAGATAGATAAACAGTATTACAGAGTAGAAGCATAGGTTATCGGTACAGCCATTTCCAATCACCTAGGAAGAGTTTTATTAGCCTACGGTAATATAATTGAAAGAATTAATTAATCAAGCAATCAATAAATAAACAAGCATGCCAACAAATAGATAAATAGATAAATAATGCAGCAACCCATTAAATAAATAGACCAGGAAGCCAATATATTAATAAAGATACATAGATATATAAACAACCTAACAATGTAGAGACATGGCTTATCAGTATAGTATTTCTCACCACACTGAATGCCATTGACTAATATACGGTAAAATAAATGAAAACATTTATACATACATAGACACATACATACATATAAAGACAAGCAAGCCAAAAAATAAATAATATAGCAACCCAATAAAAAAATAAATACATCAAAAAGCAAATAAATAAATAGATGGATAGATACATATGAAGATAATAGATCAACAGAGAGATAGATTGACTAACCAGGAGAGGCAGGACTTATCTGCACACTATCTCAGCTCACTGAAGGCCTTTTCCTAATCTAAGGCAAAACAAATGAATACATACATACATACGTACATACATACATAAATACATATATACATACAGATGTACATAAACATACAAATAGAAAAACACCCAATAAATAGATAGATGATAGATTGATAGATAATCCAGCATGCAAATTAATAAACAAATAGATAGATAAATAAATAATCCATAAAGCCAATAAATAAATGGATGAATGAATGAATAAATAAATAATGCGGAGAGCAGATCAATCAATTAATCAATAAATAAGTATTTTGGGGAGCAAATAAATATATGTTAGTAAGGAAATATTATGGAATCCAATAAGTAAATAAATGAATAAATACATAAATGAAGGAAGGAATAAATAGATAAATAAATCTGGTGGCAAAATAAATAAATTGACCGGCAAGCCAATAAATAAAGTATCCTGGCGAGCAAATAAATGTTAGTAAGGGAGCATTGCAGTGAGCCAACAAATAAGCAAATAAATAAATAGATAATTGAGCCACCCAAAAATAAATAAATAAATAAACACATAAATAACCCAGTAAACCAACAAATAAATAATCGATACACAAGCCAATAATTAATTAATTGAGTAAGTAACTAAGTAAGTATTCCAGTCAGCAAATAAATGAATAAGTATTAGGAGAGCCAGTAAGTTACTAAATAATCTTGCAAGTTCAATAAATAAATAAATAGATAATGCAGCGAGGCAATATATAAACAGATCTATAAGCAAATAAATAAATAATCCAGCAAGCTGTGCTCGCTTTGGCAGGACATATACTAAAATTGGAATGATACAGAGAAGATTATCATGGTCCCTGCACAAGGATGACACACTAATTCATGAAGCATACCATATTTTTTTAAACTAAACATTATTTGCAAACAAAGGGTATTATTTGTTTTTAAAGCTTTTTATAAATAAAGGCTTCATAAATGTTTTCTTAAAAAAATAATCCAGCAAGCAATAAATAAATAGAGATTAAGAAGTCAATAGACAGATAGCTGTATCAATAGATTGATTGATAGATGATAGATAGATAGATAGATAGATAGATAGATAGATAGATAGATAGATAGAGATAGATAGAGAAACAGATAAACAGTCTAACAGAGTAGAGGCATGGCTTATCCATCTAGCATTAGCTAAGCATCAAGAAGGCCATTTATTAGTCAACAGAAATATAAGCGGAACAATGAATGAATTAAGGAATATATAAGCAAGCACACCAATGAATAAGTAAATGAATAAATAGCAAGCAAACAAATAAATAAATAAAGCTGGCAAGTCAATGAATAACTAAATAAATACATAATGCAGCAAGACCACTTATAAATAAATAGATCAACAAGCCAGAAAATACATAAATAGATACATAAACTGTCTAATAGGGAAGAGACATGGTTCCCAGGTGCTATTCGCTTAATCTCAGCACTCCGGAGGCAAAGGTAGGTGGATCTCTGAGTTCAAGCCAGCCTGGGATACTGAGCGAGTTCCAGGAAAGGTACAAAGGTACAAACACTGTCCCGACGGGAAAATAAAAAAACATAGAAGAGAAATGGCTTATCAGTATGGTATTACTCAGCATATTGAAGGTCTTTTATTACACTAGGAAAAAATAAATGAATACTTTCAAATACACATATATAAATGTATAAATAGACAAGCAAGTCAATCAATCATTAAAAATAATAACGCAAAACAGTAAATACATAAATAAATAATCCAGCCAATACAAAAATAAGAAAGCAAGCATGCCAAGAAACAAACAAACCAAAAAACAAACAAACAGCCCAGTAAGCCAATAAATAAATAGATAATGCAGCAGGCAATATATAAATAAATAGATCAAGAAGCCATTTAAAAAAGTTACATAGATTATCATATAGTATTTTCTCAGCTCATTGAAGGCCTTTTATTACTCTAAGGTTAAATTAACAAATAACGAAATAGGCAAGCAGGCCAATAAATAAAAAGATCAAGAAGCCAACAAATAAATAGACATTAAGTCAAAAAATAAATAGATCAAGAAGCCAATAGGTAACTAGATGATATGTAGATTGATAGAGACCTGATAATCCAGCAAGTCAAAAAATATAGACAGGTGACAGATGGATAGATAGATAAATAGACAGAGATACATAAAGTAAATAAATAAATAGGCAAGCCAATAAATAAAAAATATTGGTGAGGCAATGAAAAAAATAAGTAAATAAATAAATAATACGGCAAACCAATTAACAAATAAACAGGTGAGTAAGTAATCTGTGAAGCAAATAAATATGTTTGTAAGTAAGTATTACAGTGAGCCAATAAATAAATAAACAAATAAATAAAAGAATATATAAGTAAATAATCTGGTGATGCAAAAGATGACTAAGTAAATAAATAGATAAATGATTCAGTGATTCAATAAATAAACAAGTAAGTAAGAACTCCAGTTAGCAAATAAATAAATAATCCAACAAGAAAATAAGTAAAAAAAAATTACTAAGTAAGTATTCCGGTGACAGAATGAGTGTTAGTAAGTAGTATGGTGAGCCAATAAGATAAGATAGATAGACAGACAGACAGACAGACATATATATAGATAAATCCTGCGATCCAACAAATAAATATTTCGGCAAGCAAATAAATGTTATTAAGTATGTATGTATCATGATAAGCCAATAAATAAATAACATGGCAGGAAAATAAATTAAAAAATAGACAGAAAGATAAACAAATAAATAATATGGAGACCCAGGAAATAAATAAATAAACAGGAAGAGGCAATAAAAAATAAATAAATAACTATTCCAATGAGCAAGTAAATATCTATGTTAGTAGTAAGTACTATCGTGATCCAACAAACAAATGAATAGATGAATAGAAGAAAATAATCCAAAGACCAACAAATAAAAAAAGAAAGTAAGAATAAATGAATAAATAATCATGTGCTCGATAAATAAATAAATAAATAATCCAGCAGGCAAATGAATGTTAGTAAGTATGTAAATAAGTATTAATGTGAGCCAAGAAAGAAAGGAACAAAGAAATAAAGAACAAAGAAAAAGGGAAATGAAGTGGCGAACCAATAAATAAATAAATGAATAAGTATTAGAGCAAGCAAATGAATGTTATTAAATCAGTATTATGGCGAGCCAACAAACAAACAAAACAACCTGGTGACACAATAAATAAATAAATAATCCAACAATAAATGATTGAATAAATAAATAAGTAAATAAGTAGGTAAGTAGCTAAGAATTCTGGCAAGCAAATAAATGTTAGTAAATAAGGATTATGGTGAGCCAATAAAAGAGAGAGAGAGAAAGGAGGAAAGCAAAGGAAATAAATTAATAAATAGAAAAATAAATAAATAAGTGGACAAATAAATGTTAGTAAGTAAGTATAATGTTGAACCAATAAGTAAATATATACATAAATAGGT